CTTGCACAACAACCTCCTTGTATACAGTAGATTTTGCTATCTCAGATTCCCTAATCCTCATTAAAAATCTCATAAAGACTTCAGTCAGCACATCCTTTCCAGGCTTTAGGAATACTGCTCATATTTCTGCAGGAAGACAAAAAGGAAAGAAGAAAGATGTTTAACCATGATATGTCCAGGTAATACTGTATTTTGATAAATCAGCATTTTCTCAATCTTTATGCTTTTTTCTTAAAGCTTAATTACATATCATGTGGAGTATTTACACAGCAAGGGCAGTGGTTAACCATTCAAATGCTGAATCTGTTACTGTCATATAATATATAAATATATAAAATCATGTATACTAGGGACTTTATGGGAGACAAAGGAAGACATCACCCTTGTTCAATAATCCTATAGCCTAAATTCAATGTGATCTACCAAGAACTAGTAACAAGCAGCAGAGACACAAATGAAACACAGCAGTTGTTTAATAGCATATAAAATTTAAGCACATACTTGTACTGTGACACATTCTTCTCTTTTATCTTTTGATAAAATACAAGAAAATAAAGATAAAATGCAGTAAATATGATCAACTACACAATACAGCATTTTCATAGAATACAGCAGAGAAAGAGAGAATGCTACACAAAATATTGTTACATGGGAAAAAACCCCACAGGGAATAAAAAATTTCCTTTTGAAAAAAGAGTTCCAGTTAAAGATCAGCCAAAGAATTGTTAGGCCTGGCTCATGGGAACACCTACAAACTTACACAGTCTCATTGACTTAGTATACTTTCTCTTCCATTTCAAAGAATATATGTAATTTCACATATCAAAAAGCAGTAATGCTGGTCCAAAAGGCAGTGAGATGTTTCCCATGCTGGGTTAATATCCTGGGATGCAGAGGAAGCCAGAAAGAACAATTCACACCAGTGGCAATGGTGTTATGCATACGCACTCAGTGCTGCTTTGCAGTTAGCACTTGGCTAAGTCTGTTGTATTAAAAATAACTCACTGATTAAAATGATTTCATTATTTTTAGGGTTCAGTTTAACACTTTAATATACAAAGCTTTGCAAAGTGATAACAAAATTCAAATCAGTTCCCTGCTGGGAACAGGACCTGCTGACTTTAAAGTCAGCTAGTTTCCTGCATGAATTGTTTACTTACAAAACGTTTTCTCAATAAATATGTTAGAAGCAGCAAAACAGACCTCCCTTGTTTGCAAACTTAACTGAAGTGTTACCCTGTATCCACTGGGAGTTGTCTTCTAAGTGTTTGCACAAGGCTCAGGTAAGCCTCGCTGCTCCATCAGCAGATTTGTTGTTCTCAGTATAAATCCCTCTGCTACATGTGCTTTTCCAACAACCACTTTGCCTGGAAAAGTGGATCTGGACACCTTTTGTGAGTGTAGAATGTAAATGAGTCTTTGACCTCCAAAGACCAATAGCTGGTGTGTGGGATCTCTACCTCCTCCTGTGGAAAGTTTCTCTCTGGACATTTTAATCGGTTATCACAATGGTGCCTTGGGATGAGTTGAAGTACCTGACTGTGGAATCAAGGCCTAGTCACCTGTCTTGGGAGCCAAAAGTCATGAAATGTCACCAGTCATATCACTCCTTTATGTACCTTTGGTACACATACAGACATAACTTTTTATCCATGCCACTTACAAGCTTTCCATGCTCTATGGCTATTTTTGAAATAACAGTATTCCTACTGACTTCAGTTAAGATTTCCCCTAATGGGCAAGACATACCACTGGTTATAATAAAGAGAAAAGCCTGAAGAAGCAGCAGGATGCTGTTAAAACATTAATTTGGTGATTACAAAGTTTGATTAACACAGAGAAGCCAAGTTTCACTCTTATGTTACAAACAGAAGGTTTCCTGTATTGCTTTACCAGTGTATTTCCTTTCAACAGTGGACTATTTCTGGGATGTATTCTACACCTAGTTTTACTGCTGATGTGGATATAGAAATATGTATAAAGTGTTCATGTGCCATAGCTCACTGGAAATTATCTGTCAGCTCCAGATGTGGATAACTGTAGAATAAAAACAGATCATCAATTGATTTTTGCAAAGGCTGTGGAATGACAATTTGACATTAATTTGGAGCACATCTTGAATGCACATAGCATGACTTTGAGACAGCAGCCTAGACAAAAAGGACACTGTCACCCAATGCCCTCTATACCTTTCAATACATACTAGTCTTTCTGCAGTTTTAAAATGCTACATGCCATTGGGCAGCCTCTGTGAATAATGATGGAGTTGGTGTAGTAATTTCTCTAGCTTGTTAAGGATGTGTTCACACATTTTCTGTCTGAAAGCTTGAGGAAGGTCTATGTGAAGTAGAGAGAGACGTACCTCCAAACAGTGACAACTTCCAAGTCCCTTAGGCACCTTTCATAGAAGAGAAGGGGATATGTTGGATCACCTGGAGGTATCCAGGTCTCCCTGTGATTTATAGAATAAGCCCAGCAGACCAGACCAAACACAGAACTTGGACAATGCTAAATTTAAGAGCAATCTGTTCCAGTCTCTGTGAGCTGGCAGATGAGTGGACTGAGAGACAAACTTTTCATACCCATCTAGATTTTGCACTGATACAGAATTCAACCTCCACACAACATAAAAACAAAGGATAGGAGCAATTTGGCCAAACACAGGACCTCTGTACAGATGTCTCTTGCTTGCTTTCTCTTTACAGCTGACAATAGACAGAAATAGAAACTTTTGCGTTCCTCTTCTTAGGTGACTGAATGCTAATAGAAGGGGTTAGATAATTTGTTAAATTAGCCAATTAAATGGGTTAGATAAATGGTGTGTTCCAAGTATTTTCTCTTCACTTAATTTGAAAAGGGAGGATAGCATGAGAGGTACAAAACCTAAAATGAAAGCAATAATATAAATAAAATAAACTACAAAAATTTCTTTTCATGCCTAACCTACTTTCTGACTCACCAACCTTATTCAAATTCTTGTTTCCAGTTTTATTTTGTATTAAAAATTCAAACTTTGAGTTGGACACACCCTGGGAAGGTGTTTATTGAAAGCACCTTTAAAAATACTTTTGTAGCTTGCATCCGACTGTAGGATTGAGGTGAGGATAAATGATGTCAAAAGGCACTCTACATTGCTGTCACTGAAACCTGAAGGGTCTAGCTTCCTCTTCCATGGAGCAGTGCCTTAAAATTTGGGGCTTGAATTATTATTTTGAAACAGTACAGTGGTGTCTGAGGCACATAAAACGTGTGTATATGTGCATTTCTGTATGTGTGCACATAGGTGCGTGCAGGTCTACAAATAACCTAGAAACTGCTCATCCTGGCATGTCTCTTGTGGAAATAGGGACTGTATGGTGGCTTGTCTGCCACTGCAGTTAGCAACCAAAATGCATTCTATACTAAACTTATAGATTTCTATATTTGAAATTTATTTTAAATGCATAGAATTTATATTAAAGCATTATACAAAAAGCACCTTATATAGCAACTATTTGCATATTTTCTGGATTTTTAGAATTATGTTTGACCACCTAGTAAAAGTCAGCAACTCTGTTTTCTACTGCATCTGAACAATCCCAGGTACCATCTAACATGGAGCTTGCTGGAGACCTGAGGAGACCAGATGGAGTAACAGCAATTTTAGTGATTATTGCAGAAGGTCTGACTGGAAGGGGTGGTTGGGAGAGAAAGCACTCGTGCACCAAATTAAATTATATGACACTTCCTTTGCAATACACCAGGTGGCAACCCAAGAGGCACCACAGTGTGATGGAGTAAGTACTTGTTAAGATCAATTAAAAACAGGGCTGCCCTTATGGCATGCTAGGAACTCAAACATGACATTGAAAGCATAACCCAGCTGGACTGGGGCTAGGGCAAGACTGGTAAAAAGTTCAGTGAGAAACCAAGCCGGGGCTCATCCTGAGCGAGTGGCTCACAGCACCCACCTCACCATGGCCTTCATATCTGCAGAGCTAACAAGGAACAAAGCAGAGTGGGCTTGAGTCACAAAGCACAACATCCAATAACTCAACAGCCTGGAGGGAAGGGATGTCCTCCAGAGGGACCCTGACACACTTGAGAGGTGGGCTGGTGTGAATCTCATGAAGTTCAACAAAGCAAAGTGTGAAGTCCTGCACCAGGATTGTGGCAATCCCTGACACACCTACATGTTGCATGGAGAAGTGACTGAGAGCCACAGTGTGGAGAAAGACTTAGGTGTGATGGCTGATGAAAAACTCAACACGAGCCAGCAGTGTGCACTCATAGTCCAGAAAACCAATGAGTCCTGGGCTGCATCAAAAGCAGTGGGGCCAGCAGGGTCAGGGAGGTGATTTCCCCCCTCTACTCTGCTCTGGTGAGATCCCACCTGTAGTACTGTGTACAATTATGGAGTGCCCAGCGTAAGGACGACATGAAAGTTTTGAAGCAAGTCCAGACTAGAGCATCTCCTCAAAAAGGCAAGCTGGGGCTGTTCAGTCTGGAGAAGAGATGGTTTTGTGGAGACCTCATGGCAACCTTCCAGCGTCTGAAGGGGCTGACAGGGAAGCTCCTGGGACTCTGCACGTGTCCTTGTTGTGGAAGGACAAGGAGTAATGGGTACAAACTGAAAGAGGGGAAATTTATGTTAGACAACAGGAAGAAATTCTTAACTGTGAGGACGGTGAGACACTGGAACAGGTTGTTCAGAGAAGCCGTGGATGCCCCATCCCTGGCACTGCTCAAGGCCAGGTTGGATGGAGCTTTGACCAACCTGTTCTAGTGCTTGGGGTCCCTGCGCATGGCAGTGAGGCTGGGGCTAGATGATCTTTAAGGGCCCTTCCAACCCTTGCAATTCCAGCACTCTCCTATCCCACAGCAAACCCTCCGCGCCGCTGCCCGCACGGGCCCGCCCCACGCCGGGGCTCGGGCAGGCGCAGCCGCCGGCCCCGCCCCCGCCGCGCCGCTTCCCCCGGTTCCCGCCCCCGCCGCCCTCCGTGCGCGCTGCTTCCGGCGGCGCCCGGCGCGGCGGCGGCTCCGGCGGCCCGGGCAGCTCCGCCCTCCGGACGGGGTAGGGTGGCGGCGGCGGCGGCGGTAGTGGTGCTGCTGCCGAGCGGGCACGGGGGGGCCGCAGCGGCGGGCCCTGCAGCAGCCCCGGTGCGGGGCCGGCTCTGCGCGGCGGGGGTGGGCGGCCGCGGGTGTGCGCTCCCCATCTGCCCGCCCAGGGCAGGCTGGCGGGGCCGGGCCGGCGCTGCTGTCGGGGAGGGGAGGCAGAAGGCAGCGGCGGAACCGGGCAGTCCCGCCCGCACCTGCCCGCCGCTGTCCCTAGGCCTCGGCGGGAGCTGCGCCCCGGGGAAAGGAGCTGTTCCCCCCGGGGAAGGGAGCGCGGGCACCCCAGGAGTGGGAAGGGGTAGGGATGGGATGGAGCAGGGAGGACGGGAGGAACAGTGCCGGGACCAGGCAAAGCGGGCAGGGCTGGCACGGGCTGTGCTCCTCTCCCCTGCGGGTCCGCCGCCGCTGCTCGGTCCCTGCGGTGTTCCACACTTACACGGCTTCACAACACGACAGAAAGCAGGATAGGAGCTGAACTAGCGATACTATTTTATTTCATTTTTTAGGTGTGTACTTTGGGGTGCTTCACTTCTTGTGGATTGTTATTTGCTACCAGTGCAGGCTGACAAATGGACATCAGTTGGATGTGAACGGACATGATTAGGACGAGAGAACACAGACTTAAGCTGTGCCAGGGGAGATTTAAGTCTGCCATGAGGAGGAATTTGTCCACCAAAGAGGTGGCTAGACACTGGAATGGGCTGCCCAGGGAGGTGATGGAGTCACTGTCCTTGGAGCTGTTTAAGGAAACATGGCACTTAGTGCCATGGTCTGGGTGGCATGGTGCTTTTAGGTCACAGGTTGAACTTGTTGATCTCAGAGGCCTTTTCCAACCCAACTGATTCATTAATTCTGTGACAGTGAGAGGTACCAACTGCATGGCCTAATACCTGCGATCCCTGCAGTGAGGAAGCAGCTGACCAACAAGTAAATGCTGTACAGAGTATGCCTGCATGGAGAGGCTGTATGATATCTCAAGAGAAAAGTGAAAAGGCAAATAAGACAAGTGCACACTAATTTCTTTTTAAAAGTAGTGTGGGGAATTTAATTTTTTTTTTTTTTTACATGAAGGGGAGAGTTTCATCACAGCTGGAAGGGTTGTTGGTGAGAATGAAGTGGCATAATGCTGGTAACTTTAGACTGTCAATAGAAAGGGCTACATGATGATTTACTCATGTTGAGAAACAATTTCTGTTGTCTGAGAAAGCTGCCTCCATAAGACACTTTGTATGTGTAATAGGTGCCAAAGGAACTTTTGTCTCCATTGTATCTCTGTGCTGAACCACATCATGAGTCTGGTCCTAGCAGGAGTGCAGTCACTGAAGTAACCAGAAATTCTTGGATTTTGCCTGTTTTGGTGCTCATGAAGACAATGTAAGAATTTAGATAGATAAAATTGCAATATATTGCAATTTTTTTCAAACAGTAGAATTATTAGTTAGAAGTGTGTGTGAAGTGGCTTATTTTAGTGCCAGAATATATTATGGGAAGAAACACAGCAAATGGGGCCTGAGTTTAAAGTCTACTGTAATAGCTTATTAATTTTTAATTAAGAATAGCTTCTAGTTTCAACAAGTTGAGTGTAGATGTTGGTATAATCATGGTAATTAACAGCAAGAGATGCTAACCTGTGGTAAAAGTACTCTGTTTTAGACTGTAATGTAAGGATCCAGTATTCCCTCTGTGCATTAGTGTACAAAGATAATTAAGAGATTTCCCATTTACTGTCTTTTATCTAAGACACACATATTAAATTGCATTAATCTTTCTTCAGAGATCATATGAGCCCTTGTTTTTGTCATTTATACATTCTTTGAAATTTGTCAATGTTGCTGTTTCTTTTATAGTCAGATGAAGGAGAATTGCTCACTGCTCCCAAATGTGAGATTAGCAAAGCTGGTGTAAACAGGAATTATTACTTCACTGGCTTTAAAAATCAAACCTGGTGTATGCATGACTAGCATGTACAACATTTGCTTCTCTTGAAATAGTACAAACTCTTTCCTATCATGTGCTTTTCCAGGGATGGCTCAGGGATAAAATGTGCCATTTTTTTTTCCTAAATCTAGTATCTGTTACTTGTTATGTTTTCACAGAAATCCTTCATTTCACAGCCCTTTGAAATCTCAAGTATTTTTCTGTGTACTTCCCACCTTTTCTCAGCAGTCTGGTTGGTGAATAGCTCTGTACTGTTTCTGCTTGTATGGGATAAAATTGTGGCTATTGAGAAGTTGCATTTGCCAAGCTAACCGAAATGAACAGGTAGAATCATAGAATATTCTGAGTTGGAAGGGACCCATCAGGATCATCGAGTCCAACTTCTGGCCCTGCACAGGACAGTCCAACAATGACATGACAGCATTGTCCAAATGCTTCTTGAACTCAGACAGGACTGGTGCTGTCACCGCTTCTCTGGAGAGCCTGCTCCAATGCCCAGCCATCCTCTGAGTGAAAAACATTCTCCTCATACCCACCTAAACCTGCCCTGACTCAGCTTCATGCTGTTTTTTCAAGTACAGGAGTCATTAATTGGATGGGTTGCTTCAAAGCTTGAAAATAGATTTGTATACAAAAATTCCCTGTAAAAAGAGGCAAAGTAGACTGAAGAGGTCTAGTGCTTTGGAATGCTTTAACTTAATTAGTGCCTTTTCCCATGAGATCTGTACAGAAGCTGTAAGATGTTTTACTTTGTCGAGGTTTTCTGTGCTTGGAAGAAAGAAATAGTGAATTACAGTCTTAGAAGCCTTTCTGTAGGTATAGCATGAAGAAAAGAAGGGTTAGAAAAAGGAGACTTGCCCATATAATTGAAATAGTTATAAATTACATAATAGTCTGGGTAGGAGATATTGTAAATAACGTGATGGACTCCAATGTATTTTGAAAGAAAATATTGCTTTAAAAAGTTTTATTCCAAGTCTAGTCGAAAGTGGTTTTCTGGAGTCCTGTCTGTAAAAGTAGAGATAACATTTTGGGAGTCCTTTGAGCTGGTCTGGCTTGGGACCTGTGCAGTCTTGCTCCCCCCTCAAGCCAGCACTCACCAAGATGGTTTGGGGACATCAGACTGAAAACTGGTTCTGGTATTTCATAGCACTATTTCAGTCCATTTAATGGTATTGACAGGGAAAAAAAAATATAAAAGAAATAAAATATGTAGAAGGCTGCTGCTTGGGAGGAGAATGAAAAGACACCCTTATAAGAAACCTTTATTAGGCTTTAGTTTAGCATAATTATGCCTGTACCAAAAAAAAAAAATTAATAATATACAGCAGGCCAAAGACCCAGCCAGAGATCAGAAGGCATAGTTGCATGGGCCTAAGTGGATCTCTTTAAAATAACCAAGCAATTTGAGGGAAGGGGGAGCTTTTGACATAAACTTTGCATGTACATGAGCTCCAGAGCTGTTTATCGTGATGCTTTGCGTAGACCTGAGTCTGCATTTTTATCTTTTTTTGCAAAGTTAAATCCTGTTAATTAGAAATCAGCTTGACTTCTGGTAGTTCCTGAAAAAAATCTCTTTGTATCATCTGGCCCTACTGATCTGTATTTAATGTAATTCTTTCACTAGCTTATTATCCTTTAACCTCTGGAGCAATTTTTCATTTGTCTTTTTAACGCTGCACAATTCCTAATGCTTCTTTTAAAGTGCCAGAAGAAGAATTCCTATTTGTATTGTAGTCCTAATGGTTATTTAATCCTTCTTTTACAGTGGTTTTGTCTTTCTTGTTATAAGCTACTATATCTGATACTGTTTTTAACTCTTTATTTTGCCTCCACTTCTGTTGTTTAGACTAGTAAGTTTACATGAAAGCTTTCAGTTCCTACTTATTTACTTTTGACCTGTTGACCAATGCCAGCCAAAATTGATAAAGTTGTGTCAGTGTCAAGGATTTCAAATTTTTACAGGTTTTATGAAATTGTTAAGTTGCTAGAGGGAGAATGACCCAAATTAACATTACTGCTAATGGAAAATCTGCAGCATGATTTCAAGTTATTTCCTCTCTTAGACCTGGCTTAAACTGGCCAGCTGGCTGACATACAGCCCTGAACTGCTGGATGGTTTTGCTGCTCTTGGACAAGCTAAGATAAGGAGCACAGCTGGGTTTGACAGTGCCACAAGAACTGCAGGCTGTGGCCAGAGGAAGGCTGGAGTTTGCAGTGCAGATGTCAGGTTGTGTAGGTTGCATATGTGAGATAAGTGATTCCCACTGATATTCGAGTACCACAGCTGAATGATTCTTAAAATTGAGATCTGTAATGCCATGTTTCTCTTAATCAGTAAAATTTTGAGTTTGAAGGTGGTGTATATGCTGATCTAGCCATGATTTCAGGGCTTGATAGCAGAACATTTGTTGAAGTTTATTGTCTGTTGACATATTCTTTAAATAGATCTTTCTTTTTAAGAGGGGGAAAATCCAGAAGGAGAATGTATTTGTAATCTTTACTTACATCTTACATCAAAGCATCTTTGCTTTGAAAAAATAAAATAATAACTATTTTCAGTTTGGAGTTGTTTCTTTTTTCTTTTTTTTTTTCTTTCTTTTAAGGAGGAAAGGTTCAGGATTGTGCTACTTTTTTTCCCAGTGTCTTTTCTGAAGGGTGGCTTAGGTTGTTTGTGGGAAATGTGACATTGGTTCTTGGTGTTTCAGGGGAGCTTGAAGTAGATATGGCATATTGTTTTATGCATTCCCTTCTGCACAGAGTATCAGGAGTAATTCATGTCCTGGACAGCTACATCATGTGAAACTAAATAAAAAGCCAGTAATAGAAGAGGCAAGAAAGTGAGAATTGAGCACGTTAATAATTAACTTTCTTCTGTCATGAGTAAAATGGGCAGATAGTGCAGCCTCTCCTTATCTGTTACCACAAGTGCCTTCTTGCTGGAAATGTTCACGCCAAAGAGAGCTATTTGTACATCTCTGTGTGTTTGTGAGTATGGGAACAAGCGACTGACCTAAAAAACACACTCTAGATCTGTGTAGAGACTTTAAAAAGTTTCCATTTGTTTAGTAATTTACCCTACTTTAAACGTATGCTCCCAAAAATGCTATATTAGGGTCTCACTTGTACCCATTGCAGACATTAAATACATGGTTTGTCTGCCTGTCAGTGTGAGGCATCGTGTTTGTTGTTACTTGAGGTGTCTCCTGCAATAGAAGGGTCACATCTGTTGGTTCAGAGATTACCACAGTGTGTATCCTGTGGTAAACTGAGCGGCAACTCCCGCAGGGGCTGTTGAAGAAACATTTATTCTATTTTGAGACATGCTTAGTCATCCCTGCTTGGCCTCTAACGGGTTACAGGCGTTACTCCTTATTCTCTCTTAGTAAAGCTGATGGACAAGTTAATGAGAAGGCCAGTTTGTGAGAAAGTTTGTGAACTCATAGCCTGAGTGTGTTGGGTAGTGCCAGTGGAAATTGGAGAATACACTGCACATTTTGTTGTGTGTTGGTAAAACTCACAGTTTACATCACGCAGGTATGGAGCAGCTGCTCAATATGGGACAAGCATATGTAAGAGGATCCTTATTAGTAGGGAATATGATACAGCCCTCCTGTGTCCTGTAGAGAACATTCAGCTATATAAATGCTTCTTCACTGTTGTAAACAGAAAACCTTAGTAAAGTAGCTTACCTTTAATTTAGCTTTTTCTAATTGCTAAACCTGCTTATTTGATTGTTTTATTTGTGTTGATGTCGTCTCTGTAAAGCACATCAATATTCTTAATTAATAGTATATTTTGTGTTGGGTTTTTAAAGTATGCAGATCTAGTACATTTTGTGTTTAACTGAATTGCTACTTTAATGAAAATATTTTCTCTTGTCAGTATTAAAATGCTTTCTATGGGGACTTCTGCTTCTGATGCCAGGACTCTTTTGAAGACCTCATTTGTTGCATGGTTTAAAGGAAGATGATGTTGTTAGTGAATTCTGAGCATCCTTCGGGAGGCTGATGACCCTTCTGTTGTTGCTGTGTGCTGTCATGGACAGCTTCAAACGGTAAAGGCAGTATTTTTGTGACTGTTTCAGATTAGTGCTCTGATAGAGGAAGCAGTAGATTAAGTTTAGACTAACAGCCCAAAAGCTCCTTCTTTTCACTCTTAAGACCATTTACTCTTCTTTTAAGAAAGTAAAACCATTCACAATGGTTTTAAGAATGGTGTCTTCACAATGGGAAGGTGTATCTTCAGATATGCTTTCACAGTTATTTACAGCATGGGCCAGCTTTCATTTCATACTTGAATTCATTTCCCTGAGTCACTGCAATTTTCTTTTCTTGTAATAAATCCCTAAAGATAATGCTTATTTTGACCATTAGTTTTTTTGTTGCTTGAGGGCTGGTTTTGGCTGATATTTCTTCATATCTTCTCTTTTTTTTTAAACAAAAAAGGAATGTCAAGTAAGGTAAAAAGTAAATGGGAAGCCACACTTAGTAGCTTCCAACTAAACAATTGTCTTACAATAAAATACAATAATTTATTAATATTTTAGTAGCAGTACTTTGTTTAAGACGATATTCAAAACGGCACAATTTGCTTTCTAAGAATCCTGTGTCAGCTCACTGTGTTTATTCATTCTGTTTTATCAGCTCTTTTCCAAAACACCACAGGCAGTTAATGCAACTTACAAAGGACTCCTGACTTTTTGCATCTTCCTAAGACCTATCTAGATGCCACCAGTGTTTCCCATGCTAACAGTCCTGAGCATGTTTTACTACATGTGCCTTCGGCGCCGGGCGAGGACAGCGACGAGAGGAGAGATGAACAGTCGGAGGGCCATTGAATCCAACACCCGCGCCTTGCCCATCAACGTTGAGATAGTTCAGTATGCCAAAGAAGTGCTGGATTTCAGCTCTCACTATGGCAGTGAGAACAGCATGTCCTATACCATGTGGAATTTAGCAGGGATTCCCAACGTGTACCCTAGTTCTGGTGACTTTACCCAGACTGCTGTCTTTCGAACTTACGGCACCTGGTGGGATCGCTGCCCGAGCGCCCGGCTGCCTTTCAAGAGGACTCCATCCACCTTCTGTAGCCAGGACTATGTGGAACTTGCTTTTGAAGAGCCAGTTTATCCCACTGCAGTGCACATTCTGGAAACCTATCATCCTGGAGCTGTAGTCAGGATTTTGGCATGCTCTGCAAATCCTTACTCACAAAATCCACCAGCTGAAGTAAGGTAATTTTTTTCTTCTTTATGCTTTCCTGTAATTTTTTTCTTCTTTATGCTTTCCTGTAAGATGTTAAGTGCTACAAATAGGACTGTTTAGTGAACTTTGCTTCCTAATATTTATCAGCTTTTAAAAATTTTCTTTATTTCTTCATGTTTTTAAAACTGTGGGGTCTTGTTTTGATAGCAGCTTCAGAGATGTAGACTTTTTTTGGAATTAATGCATGTCCTAATATCAACTTTAATTTGTGTAATGATAGTTTTGATGTTGGAATTTTTATGGGCAATAATTACTACATCTGTATAAAACACTACTTCTGTAGTGGTAGGTCTGAGCTCTTCCTTCAGTAGGAAGAGGAAATTGTGTAAAAGAGGTTGAGGATTCATGGCTGCTGTAACATCCTGCTTCAAGTAGCCATGGACTCATTCTTCTCTGCATGCTTTAGATTGAGTGTATAGTATAATTAGGCAGTGCAACTATTCATATGGAAATGAAGCTAAAACCAGAAGCACAGAACAGTCAGACAAAAAGTGATACCATTTGTTTGATCTTTATTTTTGGTCTGGTCAAAGGGTGGTGAGCTCAACTTGTTTTTATACTCACTTCATCTAAAAGAAGCAGATTTGATCCTGTTGGCTATCCTTATATTAGGAAGTCTTGATGGAATTCCAGTTGCAGGATTAGGAGTGTGGTAACCTGGGGAATGGTAAGATAGTAAAGAAAAACACTGTGTGTGGTGAGAAGCTCTTAGTGAGGAGGTGAGGAAATAAAAATGGAAGGAGCAAGTGAACAGGTCAAACCATGTAGTGGGGAAAAACATTGGCAAAAGCTGTCAGTTTGTGCAATTGAAGTATTCCATATCAATAAGAGATTAAATGATACCAAAGATATAAAGGAAGGGAGAGCTGATAGGAGGAATACTTAACAAAATGTGTCCTGTAGAGATTAGTATGCCAGCAAATACTATATTGCTATGAAATACACACTTTGGTAGTATAAGTAGTGCTAATGTGGATGTTGGGTGATTTTTTTACTGACTTACCTTTTACAGATGCCACTAAAAAGTATATTTTTAGGTCTCACTTATTATCCCTTGCTTTCTAATACTGGGCCATTGATGATCATTCAAAAACCCTTGGAAAATCAGGTGTCATGGTTTATATTCAAAATTCCCAGTTAATATATTTTGTATGCTGTTGTCATCTGCTGTGGCTAAGTGCAGTTGCTTGTTTTACAGATCTAATGAGAATATGATATGTTGTATAGCTCTAAAGTAAACATCTGAATTCAAGGAACAGTGATAGGTCAAAGTAACAATAATAGGCCACCTAACTTTAGAAGTATGAGTGCTTTTGGCATTGTAATGCAGAACTTATTTACAGGATGGTATGTGGTGAAGGCAGCTTTAGACTTTCAAATTCAGAACCTAATGTGAAATGACTTCTGGGCAATCACTCTGTGAACTTACATTTTACTTTTTTATTTTGTGATGTAGATCTTATTTCTTTATGGTGAAGCACAGATTGGAGATTGGAAAGTTCACAAATAGTTAACCTAAGGACCTGTTTAATTAGGTACACAAAAAAGGAGAAATAGAAAATTGTACAGAGAGCTAAAGGGAGATGGAAGTGAAAATGCTAATATAAAACTTTGGGGTATGGGCTTTATGACTTCTCTTGAGGTGTGGTCAGAGTGAGAGCTCAAATGCTCTTCTTCATAATGAAAGATAAAGTTTCTGTAGGATTTTGCTTTTTAATTTGTAGGCAAGAATGCCCCCTGTCCTGCCTGCATAGGTTAACATTTCTGGTTGGAAAAAGGTTGTCTCAGGCATCCTTGGAAGGAGTAGTCTGTGCTGCCTCTTCAATAATTGTTAGTCTTGATGCTAGAGAAGTGTTAGAGGGATGCTTTTTTCTCTTTGCTTACCTTTACTCTGCAGGATTTGTGTTTGGAGCTGAGCATTTGGTTTGTCTCTGTTTTTCTAAAGAAGGCAATGTCGTACATATGGTGTCATGAAGGGAAGATGAAGGAACCCTTTCTCCACATCAGGGACACAATATTTTTTCTCTGTTCATTTGCTCACCTTTGTGAGAAGAATCTGAAGAATTTCAAGAGCACAGTCTCTTTTCTGCTTCTGTTCTTGATATCTTGTTTTTACCTCCAAAAATTCTCTGAGATATCAACTAAGAATTCTTTTTTTTTGAAGATGGAATGCTGCTGTAATCTCAGGTGATTCCTTGTTTGACTGATGTTTTGGTCTTGAAGCATTGCCATACTGTTTTCTTCTGTTAAAAAAGGCCATGACCTACTTACTCAAAAAGCGCTTAGAACCTTGTTTTCCTCTTCTGACTATTTTGATACTTTGTTTTTTGATACTTGGGTTATTACCAATGAAACTTTTCGGTGCTGCTTTGTTTTATCAGCTGACACTGTACATGTTTCTGAACAGCAGTGTGGAAAGGGCAGGTCATTAGGAAAGTTCTCTTTCACCAGCTCCTACTAGATAGACAAAGAAGGCCAAACTGTCAGTGAAGTCAAAACTTTGCTGAGTACAAAAGCTTCCAGGCTGCAAGTCTCTTTATGAGAAGCTAGTGTATCACAGCTCTTGCTCAAGAGAATTTTACATGTTTTTGTTAAAAATGGCTAACACCTGCATACTTGGCCAATGTAATTACTCACTTTATGCTTCAGTTGCATGAAAGAACAGCTCTTGCAGATGTTCAGAACATGCTCTTTGGTCATGTTCCTTTCTTGCTGGTGCACTGAGCGCTGCTGTTGCAGCTTTGTATGATGCTGTCTCAGGTGAGCTTTATTCAGTGTCTTTGGAGGTGGGGTCACATCTTCATGGAATGGGAATAAGCATTTACTTCTCAGAGGGTTTGCAATTGTTTCCAAGTAATCCTCATGCTTAGAACATGACAGTTAGTTTGACATTTTTTTCATTATGTTTTAACTGGCATCCAGCAGCTGGAGGATTCTCTGTCCTCTCATATCTCTCACTGCTTCAAACACAAAAGGCATTACATCACTTTTCTCTACATAAAACAATTTTTAAAAATCATCAGTGTCAGAGGAACTGCTGTTCTAACACATAGAGACCTTTTGTGCTTTTTATTTGTGCCTCTTGATTGGTGAGAAGTGTAGGCAATTCCTTAAGCTATACTAACATTCCATGTACAGATTTTTTATATGAATTAACCAAGTGCAAAAAACCCAAGAAAAAAATAATAGTCTGAGATTAGGGACATGTTGTAACATAAAGTCTCAGTTTTTACGTGGTGAAGAAATCAATCCCTATTTTTGATTGTATTGTGTTATGATTATTTTACTAGTGTGGCCCTGGAACCTTGCACAGTGGAAGAGGCAGAGCTCTACACACATGTGGTGGGGACAAATGCAGCATAAGCTGAACCCAACCAAGAGTGTTTTCTTTGTTTTTCATAGTGTATTAGATTGATGGGTAAGTTATAGCTAGCCTCTATCATGAGAAAAATGGTTTTTTTTCCTGGTTTTTTTCCTCTTTTTTTACCCAGAAGACTTACTGTTGATGATTCCCTAGTGGCTTCTTCAGTGTTAGCCCTTTTGATACATTTTGATATTCTTAATAGTTAGTTGTTGTCAGTCTTTGTGTAAATGGGAAAGTCAAAAATAATTGTTTCAGAACTTTTTCAACTTTTCTTTTATAAAAATAACTTAAGTTTTTAAGTTTGTAATATGAAACAAAAAAATGGTCCCTATTCTCCTGTTGTGGTCTCCTAAAATTTGATTTGACTGTTGTTTTTCTGTCATATATGTGTTATAGTGATACTGTACATTCATGTGCTTTTATAAAAGCTCAAAATCAGAGATTCCTAACAAATCTGGAATCTGTGGCTGTACTTGGGGTAATATTTCATAGCATATGTCCTTCCTGCAATGCAGTGATTGCTTCTTCAATAATTAAAGATTATCTTGTGATTATTCTTTTCTTGTTTGCTACAGATAAGGTGTGACACTTATTAGGTTTTTTCTCACGGATGAGATACCATAATCATTTGTCTGGGACCACTTCCATTCTGCCTTGTGTATTCCTGTTGTTTATTTCTATTTAAATTGTTTAATTTCATGTCATTTCGAATTTTACTAGAAAATTGAGCATGGCTCAGTATTTCCAAGCTTAACTGTGTTTGCTGTATGCAAAGTTTCTGTTTCTGAAAGTCTTGAAGCCTGTAGAGACAGAAGCTGCTACAAACCAGAGCAGCAAGCTAATGAAGATGGACAAAACAAAAGGCTCCCTCTGCTTCCAATGGGAAATTTATTGTATTTAAGCAGCCTGGACAGGGATCAAAATGTTTTATGGAACCTCTTTCTCTGCCCACCCCCCCTTTAAAAAAAGGGAGTGAAACCAGAAAGGCAGTGTACTGAATGTAAAATATCATGTAGAGAGTGGCATTCAGATGGTTCTTTCACTGAGAATCTCAGATGAAAACACCCAAAACTCTGCTGATACCATCAACACATTAGGGTGTGATAAGGAACCTTCGGGCCTGTATCTCACCTATGTGTAACACACAAGTTCTGGACATTTGCATCCTTACTTAAAACTTGTTTTGACATCTTCAGGCAAACAGCTTTTTCTTGTTTCGATGCCTGTCATAGAAAAATGAATTCTGAGTTCATGGAATGCAGTCATTTTTGAGAAGCTCCTAAAAAGCTCATGTAGACAGAGCAGTTACTTGAAGTACCTTTTGCTGTTTTAAATGTCATGACCATTCTTGGAGTCCTGTCTGCTGTCTCTGCTATTTCAGAATTGAACTCTTGGTAGAAATGAAAAATTTGCTTTGTATTTTCTCATAATAATTAAACTGCTTTGAACTCTGCTTATCAGCTTAATCTGAATGATTCTTAAATTGTGCTCATGATCTTCCCAGTCTCCCCTACCTTTTGTGTTTATGAGCTCACAGCTGAGGTCAGGGGTACACTTTCCAAGCTGGTTTGAAATAGTGTGCTGAAGCATCCCTGGTATGTTTGCAGGCAGGAGATGTTTTCTCCTGGGTAATCTACAGATTTCTGCTGTGCTGTTGCTTGGCTAAGAGCAGCATGTGATTATAATTGTTGCACAAGTTGCATTTTCATCAAAGGGGTGGTTATATTCTCTGAGATTCCTCATGTTCTCCTTGTTGGTCTATCTGGAACTCTCCCTTCTATTGGCTTTTAACTCAGCTATTAGTTTCTTGAGGCATTTACTGGATTGCTTGTAGTGCTTTTTTAACTTTCTACACCTATCTCGATTTGACATACAAGAAACCTCAGCAATTGCAAGCAAAGTTTAATCTTGTACTGCAGAAGAGAAATCTGATTACTTTTCCTAGAAGACCCCTTCTCAAAGACTCTTTCTTATATATTTCTTCAGAAGTAACCAGGTCTGCTCAGGTATCATCTTAACCATTAAAAACCTTCCCAACAACACTAGATCAACAAAAAATTAGGCAAGCTTTTAATATGTGCTATCATTTGACACAGACCTTCCAAGTATGATTCTCAGCCTAGAAATCACTAGACTGTATTTTTCTTCATGGTAAAGGAAGAAGGATGGATTTTTTTTTTCCTTTACCACATAGATGTATGGAGTCTTTCTTTAGTATCAGAGAAAATTGAGTTCCTGTCTGTCTCCATGGGACAGAGAAAAATATAATGGGAAAACTGAGTCTATGGCTGAATGGAGAAACTCACTTAATGTCCTCCTTTTCTTCAATTACTAGAGAAAATATGGATGTTGCTGACTCTTGTTCAGGCTTTGCCTGGCACTCCTTGCTGGAAACACTGAGGCTTTCTAGCACATTGCTGATGAAACCTTCTAATCAAAGCATTCTCAGTGTGACATCTTTGATCAGCTGTTACTGAATATCTGCAAGACTGGAGGACAATGTACTATCTCAATTCATTTGATTCGACTTGATTTTTGAGAGCTGCTTAATTAACTCAGGGTGTGGGGCAGGCAGAAATCCTTTGACTTCTTTAAAGGTATTTATTGGGATTCAGTTTCTCTTTGTTTTGGGTTAAATAGCTTATTGAACATTGTAAGCTTGAAACAGATGCAGGTGACCTTCCTAGGGAAACTGATTGTGATACATATCCTCAAACCAGGACTGACTGTCAAAATGCCTTTCTTATGAAAGATTTTTAGGTGGATTATCCTAAGAAAAGAATGTTCCAGAACAGAAGAATGAAATTCTTTCTGAAACCTCTTGGAAATTCAGACTTTTTTGATCCCCATGTGAATTCTTCACTCCCATTCTGATTACCTGCAGCCTCTTTAAGTGTCACAGTGGTGATCCCAGAGGAAGAGATCACTTCCACTTGTAGTAATGGGGTAAGAGCATGGGAAGGATTTACCTTACCATGCCTACACGTAGGAAAGATTTGCCAGCCCTGACTCAGAGCAGCTGCTATTGCCTGCTCTTGTTTGTGGTGCCACCAAGGCAGAGAGCATCATCAAATCAACCTGATAAACTTGAGTTTTTCCAGATAGACCAAGAGCTAACTTCTTTGAAGTTAGATTGGTGGGCTGTTGATGAGAAGTAAACAGCATGACAAGGACAGTGGAAAATTGTCACTGGTTTTATTGTTCATCAGCATTTGGTATGCAATGTGGAGCTTCACAAGATTGTGAAATCATGCTACGTGTCTTCCATTTTCTCTAGTTTATTACAAAGACTGGAAACTAGCTACTGCCTGCTGGAGCTGGTTATTGCACTGCAATTTGATGAGCCCAGATCTCCAGATACATTATTTTTTTCAAGAGCTCTGCTGCCGCTAGATAATCCTCTCTCCAGGGTCCAAAAGGAGGAGTCAGTAACAGACATATTCTGCTAGAAGTTGATGGTCCAATGTGTGTTAGATTAGTGAAAAAATAGCCTTTGAGTTTCCCCAAGGATACTTTGAGTGGGTACATGGAAGTGTCTAAGCAAAATGTCAGGTGGTGATGTGGATATGTTCAGGGAAGGTCTTGTGCCTTGCCAGCCCTGAGTATTTGCTTAGAGAATCGACCTAGGTGAGAGGATGTGACAGTGGAACCACAGCTGTTCCTTTGCCATGAATAGACATTTATTTTGTAAATTAATAAAATCTTTTCTTAATACTATGTCTCTCTTATGAAAACTGTTAATTTTAGGGTAGAGCTGTCCACTCTCCTATGTTAGTACTTTGATGTGCCATATGCTCACTACTCTTTATGTTTGGTTTTAGTTCATTTCGTTTTTGGTTTTTTTTCCTTTGGATGTAAGAGTTCTGCAAGTCTCCCATTCTATTATAAAGTACTTGGCGAGCAGCATGATGTAGGATAGGAAAATTTATCTGTGCATACCTGAAAATGTTCATTGTGAAATGGAAGTTATGGCCAATGTGGATTAATTTTCTTGATTTTCCCTTTTTCCTTTTTTTTTTTTTTTCCAAATATCAAACTTCTTAACCTTACTTATGCTGTGTGCAGTGTTTTAATGAAAATCCCTGCATTTTTTTCACTTTCTGTTATGATGGAAAAAGTTAAAGCATGTTTTTCTGTTGTAAGTTCAAAGTAGTGGTGTCTGATAGGGGAAGCCAAGATGCTGAGGTACTAGGGAGCCAGTACTGAAGTAAGAACTCTATCTAGAGTGCTTCTGAGATTCATGTAATAGGACAAGAAATCTGAGAGAAATCCTTGAAGCTGGGGCTTGGGAGTGCTGAAGATCCAAGGAATGTAAGACTTGGTTCCTCCAGGCTACTCAGTTGGCAGCAGGTTTCCCTGTCACTTGGTGGAGGAGATCTGGGGTCTGTGTATTGAAGTAAGGTGTGTACCATGCTATATATGGTAGTTCTGTATATGCCTTGAACTTCTTTTTTCTGTCACTGGACCAAAGAGGAGAAAGGCTTTCCAGTTCAGCAGTTTAAAAATGCTGGCATCTTTTGCAAAGGACTCTTTCAAAAATGACTTGAAGTTTCTACTTTCTTTGCTAATATGTCGCTGAATTACTCGTAAAAGGAACATTTTGCTTGCCTAGGCAGATAAACACAGTAAAATTTACATTTTTTTACTAATTTGTAATACTGTAATTTGGACAGGCTTGATATTAAAGACACTGAGTGGTGGGGGCTTTTTCTTTTATTTTGTAGGAAATAAGAGGTCAGATGACTCTCTTTGGGTTACAGGCAAGAGTGTTGCTTGTGTACTTACACTGACATGCCATCATTGTGAAGACATCAGCAATCCATTTGTTTCATTACCTTACCTGTGAGCTGCTAGGTAAACTTGGTCACAGATAACACTAACACAAGTGACTGTGACTCTACAGCTTGTTTTGTTATTCAGTGGAGAAAATATGCTAAGGTCATGAATTAGTGTGAGTTTACCAGGAATTAAATTCATCCATAGGGTATTTATCAAATCTTGAGAAAATGTAAGTATCATAAATCATTTTTCAGCCTTTTTCTTGCTTGTTAAATACTTCTGACAGATGATGTTGCCCTCTTACTGTGCTCAGGAATTGCTTTAGTAACCTTGATTTTAATTCCTGTACTGTATGTGTGTCCTTTTTTTTTTTTTCCCAGATGGGAAATACTGTGGTCTGAGGCACCTACAAAGGTGAATGGTCCTCAGGCTCGGCAGTTCACACCTTGTATCAAGCAGATAAACTTCCCCACAAACTTGATCCGACTGGAGGTGAACAGCTCCCTTCTGGACTATTACACTGAACTGGATGCAGTGGTACTACATGGTGTGAAAGAGAGGCCTGTGCTTTCACTTAAGACTTCCATGATTGATATGAATGATATAGATGAAGATGAGGATGAAGAAAAATTTGCCTGTGGAATGGACGCCCTTAATAAACAGTTCAGCATTGTTACCCTCAGGGAATGGCCAACTAATGGATATTTTGATAAACTGCCTTATGAGGTAAGAAAAGCATGTTTACCCTCAATCATTGTCTTGATGGTTAAGGGTGCAAAGGTGCTTTACAGAGTATTGGTCAGGATTGTGGTTTTTTCCCAGTTCCTTGCATTCCTTGTGAATCTCCTGCATTTACTGCCTGAGTTCTGTAAGTCTGTCTGCTTCCATGGGTGGATGTTAGGTATTTGTACAGTTACTGCACTCTTACTTCTCAAGGATCTTTGCATTCACACACAGTTTTTACACCAGATACTCCACCCTTGAATTTCCAGCTCTTGAACTTAAAAGGTTTTAGCAGTTTTCTGGTAGGTTTTTTTGTCCTCATGCTTGACAAAGAAAATACACAGAAGAGATATGGAAAGATTCAGTCAACATCTGGAAGTGGAAAGAGCTCACAATAGGCTAAAAGTTCGTTTTCCTGTTTTCTCTCTTACAAAACATACAGAGCTTTTTTCTTGAAAGTGCCATAATATTTTTATATTATTATTAAATGAGCTTTTCCCATCCAGCTAAATTTTGAACTGTGGTGCAGGTAAAATATGTTATAGCTGGACTTCAGCACACTGTCTTCTTTTTATGCTTGCTACTTTTTATTCTGTCATTAACACAGAAAACAGTTGTGAACAAACTCCTTTCAGCTCCCCTGGCAGCACAATGGTTGCTCAGAGTGTGTAGATGAGTATTTTCTTACCTCTAATTTCCAGTATAATGAAATTGTGGAGTATGATTGCTGAATACCATGTGCAGGCCAGGCAATTCTCAGGGGGGTACAGCTGTTCATGAAGGCTGGTACCCTGATTGGAGTAAGAATTGAGAGATGAAACAATTATCTTCACCTCTCCTCTCCTGAAATAAACTGTTGGCACATCGTGGAAAGGAGCCTTCACTTGCTGGTCAGACTTGGGCAGAGGCAGGATTGTTCCTGCTGCAGTCTGGCAGAGGCAGCAGGTGTTCGTTCATTCAGTGGTAGCTCAGCAAATGCTCAGAGAGCTTGTGCCTTGAACCAGACTCACTTTTGAAAGGGAGGGTGAGGTGTGCTGCCGTGGATTGGAGGGTGCTTGCAGAAATGCCTGGTCTAATCAAATAGTATTTCAGTCTTACAACATCTTTTGCCTCTAAGTACCCCAATTTGACAAACGAAGGCCGTGCTTGGGTGACCATCCACCCTAGTAGCCTGCAGAAGTTTGCTGTGCTTGTAAAGAGGAAGGAGCGAGTAGGAGAATGTAACAACTCTTACTGTCTTCTCTTGAAACTTCTCTTGAAACCAAACCTCTTGAGTTTGGTTTGAGGTTCTTTTTTTTTTTGTTGATGCAGTGGAATAATAAATAAGGAAACTAATTTTATCATGAGTTAGCTCTTGTAGTGTTTGGTTGTTTGTTTTCTCCCCAGAGTACACATGGTGTTTAATATATTTTGCTGTTGATGCTTGCATGGCAGTACTGAAGTAAAGAAGGTACTTTGCATAATTGTTTGGAAGTTTGAAAACATGTTGGTTTTAGTAATTCAAGGAAATTAACTACAAATAAACCTTCATTTAAATATAGGAATTTTTCTAGTTGTAAAGGCTGAATAAATTGATTTATAATATACTAAAATATCAGAGAGATATATTAATCTCTTTTCTTTCCCACATGATCATAGAATTATGAAGGTTGCAAAAGACCTCCAAGACCATTGAATCAAACCATAACTGGTTGATTACACATATTAAAATTTTAATTTAGGAAGTATTTCTGTAGTCTTGTTATGCCTATGAACTTCGGTCTCCATGTACTTTATTTTGTTTTTCTGCTCTCCTTTTTGTCTACCAGCTTCCTTTTTTATCCATTTTTTAACATGTTTGGTTTCATGAATAAATTTATATGGTCTGTCAATACCAAGAACATCTTTTTTCTTCTGCCTTGGTTTAAAGAAACTGAAAATATGAGTGGAATATTTGTCAGAAAACCATAAAAGACTATTTCTGTGCTGGTTTTGTGACAGCAAAAGTCCCAGTTTCCTACTTTCTAGTCCAGCTGGAAGGGTTGGACATTGGAGCAACAAAAATGTTGTACTTGGTGGTCTGACAATTTTTATCACCTTGGATATGGAAGCAGTTCTCGGCATGCTCTATTTAAGACTGACAAATGTCAGCTTTTTAGGGGAAGTGTTCAAACTGTGGGTGAAGTAAGGCAATTGCTGACTCCTTCTGGTTTTGATTGAGGCATTGCATGAAAAATTGCACCTTTTCTGTAGGTCTGTATTGATTGTCAATGTGCAACTGCCCTAAGTTTTCATAAATGTGCCTTTTTTTTTTTTTTGCCTTTGTGTTAATGAAACTTCCCTAGACTATCGTTCTAGGATATGTTGTTCCTCAAAATGGCATTAGGAATGGTTTGCTGCAGTATATACTCCAAAGAAATTTCAGGATTGCTCCTGTCTGAAAAAAAAAACCAAAAAACCCCCAAAACCCCCCAAAACTGCTCAGCTTCCTGGGGCACAGACTACTGTAGAAGAAACTGTAAATTTTTAGATGACCTAGTGAGAGAATTTTCCTTCCCTAACCTTGGATGGTGTTAAGCAGCTGTTAATTAGCTGTGAGGTACTTGTACTGTCTGTGATCTCTTCTCCAGAGCTACCCTAAAATTGAGGAAGGATTTTAGAGGAGAGACTTCATGCCCTGGTCTCCCTTCCCAGATCATTGACCATCTTGTGCTGCTTGCCAGGTGGAAGGAGTAAGGCCTTAGTCTTAGTTGGCTTTGCAGGAATACTTGAAGTCTGAAGGCCTGACCAAATTCAAAGCTTTTGGGAAAGCTGAGGAATACCTGCATAGCATCTGTGTTGTGCATTTGAGACTCACCAAGATGTGCTGGCTACTAAAAACCCAGCTTATTTTTCTCCAGAGAGGAGAGTCAGAAGACTCTGCATGCTCCAGTCCAAAATATATTTTTGGTTAAAATTTTGGTATAGAAAGATATAAATTACATCTTTGTCATTCCTTGAAGCTGAGTTTCTCAAAAGCTGCCAACAAGCGTTATGAGCTGTTCATGTCTGCTGGTGTTCACATGCACTAATAAATGTGTGTGTGTTTGCTGGTGCAAGTCGTACTGTGTGGAACCTGGGATGTGTGTTTTCCTAAACTATGCTGAGAAATGTCAAAAGCCCTAAAATACCATCTTCTTCATGTCTTCTCTTTTTGTCTCTTTGTGCACATATCCTTTGTCCTTTACCTGAGCATGTTTTAATATCAGTTCTAATTAAATGGATTCTAAGCTGTAGCAGCTCTAGTCAAAAAATTGCAGGTTGTTCATTTGTCTGTTTCTGAATGAGTGGTTTGCATAGGCCAGTGTATTTTTTTTAATTGGAAAACCATTTCATCTTCATGTGGAAGAACTGAAAAAGGAAATTTGTAGAAAGTACGAGTACTGTAGGTTTGACCAGCATCCAGACATTCTTTTCTGAAAAAACCAAGTTGGGTGTTATTGTGCTCTACCAAGAGAAAGTATTTTATAAGTACAAATGGTTGTTGCTTGCTGTTTTTCAACAAAAAAGCTTAAAAAGTCAGAGAAACTTCTGGTTCAGTAAGTAAAGTTTTGCCCTCTGTGCTGGGTAGTGGAAATTCTGTGTGGGCTTATAGGCAAACTTTGTGGTAGGTAAGAAGCTAATTTTTTTTTAAACAATATTTTTTATTTGGTAGTTCAAAAAATACACCTGTTTTAAAGCTACCATGTGCCTTATTTTCCCCGGAAATGGGAGAGGAAGTACTCTGCTATTCTTAGGCCATCATAGACTAAAAAGGCAATAAGTGTTATATAAATTATATTTTGTTTTCTTTCTGTTCTTTTTCCAATAAACTTTGTTTTTACTGATTGATTTATAAGAAAGTGTGAAATAATAAGGATTGTCATAGTTTTTCACAGTAAAAACCGTGAAAAAAATCACAGTAAAAATTGTTTGTGAGAAACTACATTATGAGATTAGCTTTCAAAGCAGATAGTCATTTCTGTAGCATTCTTGGAATCACCACGAACACAGCGTAGCACAGTACAGCACATCATGTCACATACTCATTATGATATCAAATTGTACTTTATGCTAGGGTACACAGACACAGAAAGTGTGTTCCTGACAGACACCAGACTCCAGGCTAATGGTGATTAATGGTTATTAGCCTGTATGTTTTGAACCTGTTATTTTTGTTTAATCAAAAGCCAGGAAAAAACACTTTATAACATAATAACCTAGGAGTGACATTTCATGGTGTGTTTTCATTCCGTATATTATGAAGTAGTGCAAATTCAGTAAAAAATAAAGATAGATTTTTTTGATTGAAATAGGGGCAGTTTCATCTCAGGTGTGGAAAGACACCCTGTGTGTTACAAAATACTCATTGAAGTAATCAGCTAGTGTAAATGGACGTTGTTCAGTCATTTATAGTTTCATTCACCATTCTCTGTATTGCTCAGAAGTTACAAAATAGCTTTTTTCTCACTGAATGAAGTTTGTATTACTTTACTTTTATCAGATACTGTGTCACATTAATTGTAGACATAAATTCTGCTAATTGTGCAGCCTCTGCTGACTTTTCAGCTCTAGAAGCTATGGGAGAAAAATCAGAGGGAAAAGGTATTAATAAAATAGATATTTAGCTGACTTACAGAGTGTGGATTAGCTGAAATTTTGCAAAAATCAAGATATTAACTTGGGATTATATCTTTGTTAGATCCTAGTTATTTTGGATATTTTAGGTTTCAAAATGTCAACAGGTTCCTAAATGTCAGTTGGGTGCAAACTTTGCTGATTTTAATGTAACTGCAGTTATTATATGTGCATATATATATTTTTTATATAAAAATATTTTTTTATATGCTGTTACATTGAAATATCTCTGCTGGTTCTCTGCATCAATCTGAGTTCCAGAGACAAAAGTCTGGGCTGTTTTTAGGGAAAGGGACATGCAAGGAGAAGAGAAGATGAAAGACTTGAAACCAAGTATGAAAGAAACTGGAGTATATCAAACACTGTATTTTTGCATTGGAGTTAAGCTAAAATGTTTTAAGATACGTAGATCTTGTTGGAAATCTAAATACTAAATCTGGAGCTGAGTAGGAAGTAACATTTTCCATTTTGCAGGAAGTTGAATTGTTTTGTTGTTCCAAAAATGAAGGGGGGAGGAGGGGAGGTGGAAAGTAGCTGCATAATAAAGTGATGCATTGGAAGTACAATCTGTTTGGATCTCACAAAAAGCTCCATTTTCGCTTTACGTCACAGATTTTATTCTGATTTTTGATGGATTTGTCTTATGAATCCTTCTAAGACATTAAAATGAAACGTTGGTATTTTGAAGGGACAGGATTCTCTTCCTTTAGAGTTGATTTGTGAGTTGTAGTTTTTTCATTTACTCTGATTCATTTTGGTGAGTTACTGTTTCCCACTCTGCTTGATAACAGTCAGTTTAAGTTATATAACTTGAGTGCAGGTACTTACATCTGCTAGAGACAGCTGTGGTAAAGTAAACGTTAATTTTTAGATTTCACTTTTCAAGTGCATTTTCTCTGAGTTCCTAAGCTAAAGGGGATTTCTTTATTTTGTCGGGCATTTTTATTTCCTAAAGAGAGTATTTGTGTCTGTGTTGATCATTCCTTGGAAAGGAAAACAGAGAGGAGGGATATTTCTTAGTTCCTGAGTGTGACATAAGTTATTACAAAAACTGTTACAGTGATGCTAGTCAGAAAGGCTGGTGATTATTCTGAAGCTGAGATGATTCAACTGATGCAGTTAAAAAGGGGTTTTGCGGTTCAGATTTTACTCTGGTGTAGAACAAAAATGCTCTCAAAGTATTAGAGCAAGGGAGAGATCGTAAAAGGAGATCTGATTATGTTGAATTTTTTACCTGGTTGCATAGTCCAGAGGAGAGGATAGAAGACAAAACACTGATTTTTAAAGCAGTGAGAAGAGGAATAAATCTGAAATTGGTTTAGGGTGTGGGGAAACTGGGACGTGATATAGTTTTTCCATGTACTTTGCAAATATCTCCCATCTTAAAAACCAAACACAGAGAAGAAGGAGGATGCCAGTTCTGTGTTCTGCTCAATGAAAGAGCAGACTTAGTGAAAGGAAATATATAAACATAGTGTTTACGTATGTATCACTGTTTAAATTAGCATGGGTAAAGAAATTTTTGATTTGAAAGCTTCCTGTCACTTTCATATGCTGATCTGCTTTTTCCTTTCTTGTTTAGCATGTTGTCAAATTGAGAAGGCAGTGCAGTTCTATTTAATAGTTAATTGATTTATTTGAGAAGTTACTTTTACTTAAAAGGTTTTACTTTCCTTGAAGTTAGAACACATTTTCTTACTCCTTTGCAGTTTTCCCTTAATGCTTTAAGTGCTATATGACCATCTGTGACTTTTTCTTCCCTGTTTTTTAATATAGCTCATCCAGTTGATTTTGAGTCACCTTACAGTACCAGACCTGTGTAGACTAGCACAAACTTGTAAGCTACTGTATCAACATTGCTGTGACCCTCTGCAGTACATTCATCTCAGTTTACAACCTTACTGGGCAAGGATTAATGACACATCCCTGGAGCACCTACAGTCTCGCTGCACACTCATCCAGTGGCTGAATTTATCTTGGACTGGAAACAGGGGAGCCATCTCTGTTTCTGGATTTAGCAGGTCAGTGTCAAATGTACAGAAATGTTTTGACAAGCTCTGTTTGCAGAGCTGCTGCACGGTAGCTTCACTAAGTATTTGAAACTTTATTAAAAGGCAAAAAATGTATTGAATTTACTGTAAAGGGTGTGAATGTTATGATGTAGAAAAAAGGAACAGCTGAAACAGTAGGAGATACTAAATATAGCAGCAGAAGTCCATAGCAGTCTGAAGAATCTGCATGTTCCAAGCTGCTTGTGACTGAAAGGCTTCTTCCAGGGGGAGCAGTGTTTTGCTTTCTTCTGGGCTTCTGAACCACTCTGCTAGAACCGAGCTATCAAAAATCCCTCTTACAAGGAAAATGTTTGTGGCTGTTCTTTGTACAGATGAGTCATCAGTAGGACAGTATTAGAATGGCTGCAGTAATAAACTGATTGCATGCTCGCATGGTATGAGCCAAGTAATCACTGGAGTCCAATGTAAATGCAAATATTTTCATAAAAGTGATTTAAAACATTAGCCCTGTTGGAAAACAGGGGGGTTGCATGTGCATATTCCAATGAGCTGAAAATATGACTGTGGTGTAGGTCATTAAATAGCAAATTTGCAGGGATTCTTCTCTCTGTAACAGCCATGTTCTCTGCTTTCTTAAGATATCATTTCTTGCTTCTTTGCTCATTTGCATTAGTTAAACAGCTTCTATCAATGCATTTCATTTAAGCAAAAGTTGTTGCTGCAACTAAGGGGTAATCAGCAATGGCAGGTGAAAGCAGAAATTGATAAGAAACAAAAATGTTTAATATATCTGAAAATGTTCTCTTAACTCTCATTTGTTTTCTGAATAAAAAGGTTAACTCAAGTATGCAGACATTTTCTTTCCTTTCGTGCCTAAGTTCCTTACCTGAGGAAGTAAAATATTTTGAAGAAATATTTTGTCAAGATGACAAAATGGGAATGTCTCTTCTGTTTTTCCAGACCCTCCAGTATAATCCAAGAATCCTGTGCCTCTTTTGTGCTTATTGGTAGGGAAAGAAAATGTACATCAGCTAGTTGAATTGGGTACAAAAATTTCTCCCAAATTTGGATTTTGTGTTAGATACTTTATGCAGAGGATAAATGTGCAAGCTTTAATTGAGAATTCAACTCTGAAATCATGAAGTGCCTGCTTTCTGATGCTTAGCTATTAAGTCTGTCTTTTGAAAACTTAACATATGTGAATCTTTGTGGCAACTTTTTTCATTTCCATAATTTATTTTTTTTTAATATACAGTACTGTGAAAAGTCTTCATAGTATTGTAAGAAATTATTGCCAGATTCAGAGACTTATAAACTTTACCCGTCAGAAACTGGCATTTCTGACTTCTACTTAGTTGAAAATTACTATTACTAATTTTTTTTCTTCAGTGCTGAATTACTACTAACATGTATATGCATACAGTGTTTTTAGATAATAAATATTCATTATTTGTATGTTAATACTCTGTAAGTAAATTAAATCTGTAAGTTTCTATTTCTTATAAGGAATTATATTTATTTGTAACAAATGGAAATAAAAATTTGACATTGTTGCAATTCTGAAATTAGCTTTAGGAAAAAGTGTTTCTTGGAAGAGATGGATGCAGTCTGGGAATGGGAGGTGCAATTCAATCATAAATTTTAGAAGCAAAGTTATAAGTTAAATAATTTGCATGTCTAAACTGTGCTTATCATTTTCCTTGTGGAACAAAATTTCTCCACTGTAACTAGGTCTGGTTTTAAACTTTTTTCTGTTATAGAAATGATTTTGCAACCTTTTCTTCTGTAAAAGCCTTTTCTAGTGAAATCCCCAGCCTAAGTTTTTCTTTTGATGGTCTTCATCAGCACGTTTGTCAAATTTGCTGGCCTCCAGGAGAGGAAAATTTGCTGCTTATTTGCTATGAAAGTATCTACTAATAGAGGAGACTCATTAGAACAAGATTTGCTTTTAATTATTTTTCCTTTTGTCCAAAACCAGCATACGTATATTTTTGTATTTTTTCTCAGCATTTGGAGTTACATTTGTCAGTGTTGAATTCAAAACGCGTAGAGTTGGTTTAATTCTTACAGTTGTACAGTTTAAGTTATGATTTCTACAAGTCAGTGTATGTTTAAATGCTACTCTTGCTTAAATCTTATTTTGGAAAATATCTTTCAAAAATGTTTTTATTGGTTGTTTCTTACGACAGTCTTAAAAGTAGTAGCTTGTATAAATTTGTCATTTTAAAATGTTCATATGTGCATGAAATGATTGAAAATACTAAGAAATGATTGAAAATATGTATTTTCTTCAGAAATGTATTAGAGTGAAAAGGAGTTAAAAGCAATTTTAGGAAATATGACTGGAGCAAATACTGTATTATCATGAGAAGACAGAATGCTTCAGGCATATGAACATCCTGAGGCAAAGCTGAAGGTATTTTAACTTATTGATAACATCTACTCCTTAGGGCTAAAAATTACTATCATAAATTTTTCATTTCAGCATATAATATAAATTAACTAAACTTTATATTAGATTGAACTAGAAGTGTACAAAAAAGTGAAAGGAGTATCTGAGCAGTCTCAGGAGCTTGGGATGTAAAATGACAGGGAATAAGCAAAGATTTCACAGCAAGCATTACATAAGCAGCTCTGCATTTCTCTTGGCTTTAGAGGTCTGGTGCATCTCTTCATGCCAGGGGGAAATATCAGTGTGGGAGGGTAGGACCTATATAAGAAAAGTGAGGGGAGTTGATTGGAGGAGTAGTAAATATTGAGATGCTGAATTAATGCTCTGGGGTTTAAACAGCTCAAGGACAATGACAGTTTAAAAACTGACTTCTGCATGCAGATTTCCTTGGCTCACTGATAATATCATTAACTTGTTTAAACTATTTTGCTTTAAATATCTGAGGAATTAGGATTTTTATTTACATCTGACATTTTACACTGTGAAAATGAATTAATAGTGTTTTATTTTCAGGTTAGTGATGCAGTATTTGCATGACAAGCACATCCAGGAATATTTCTTTAACAGTTTTGTTGTTGTTGACAATTGAAGGCTTGTGTTCTGACAATATTTAATTTGGTGAGGCTTTGCTAGAAGTCAAACTAGCAGGAGGGTCAGAGAAATTACTGAAATATGCACCAAACAGTCACAGAAAATGGGAGTAATATGTGACTTTACAGGGATTCTCAATTTAACAATCAGGTCTGTCTCTTGCTTTAATTTCCAGAGGTTTTTAGTAAAACTTGGGTTGGTTGAGAGTAAGTTACAACATTTGTTTGCATGTTTTTCTTAGTATAGTTTATGTGTGTTGAGAAAAGCACAAGATCCAATACTTGATATTTGACTTACTTACATGCCATGTTTTAGGATTTACTTACCAAAAAGGAAGTATAATACATGCTAGAGTAGAAAATAACATTGTACCAATTAGAATAGCTAGAGGAAGGGAAATTTTTTTAATTTAAAATTTTTTTTTAATTTTAAAACCAGATTACCTTACAAAGTCTCACTCTTAAGCATGAATACTTGCATATGCCAAGAGAACCAAGATGTGTATCCAAATCAATTTGTCTGGCATGTGGTCTCACCATCCTGTGCTGGTCCTATCCTTCATCTCCTGATCTGTGTGCCCTGAGAAACTGCCTGCACAAGTGTTCAGTGACCTGCTAATCTGACTTCCACCAACACACAACTCTGTCCCAGCCCTTGTGATGCCATTTGTTCTTTTTCCTTCTCCTACACCTCTGTGTACCCAGTTGTTCTCCACTCATACCAACCTTAACACTTTGGTTACAATTACCTGTGCTAAATGCTGCTGCTGTCATGTAACATGGCAGTCTTGAAAGGAGAAGCATCACTGTGAATTTAAAAATATATGAACAGATCTTTAAGAATGATATTAAAATGGAATTCTACAAACCATTTTATTAAATGTAAAACTGTAATTGTAAGGCCGAAATAATGCTCTGTGAGCTTGTGCAAGTAATCATACAGATAGAACTACGTAAGAAAGAGGGGTTCTCAAGATCTTGGAAGTGAAATGAGGAAGAATAAAATCCAGGTGAGTTTTGACATTTTGCTTGTCTGGTGACAGGCTCTGGAAACAGGAGACCTGAGTAGCTGGAGGGAGCATGTGGTTGGCTTGAAGTAGACAGAAATGGCTGTTTTATGAAATACTGATTCTAGGATTCTGGCAAATGGGGCAGTATTGTATCTGCCAAGTAACAGAGATAACATCCCTAATATGGATGCTAATGTAAGTTAACATTACAAGGGAAAGTGCTAAAGGAAAAGAATTCTGTCCAACCCTGTGTTATTCACAGATAGAAGTTGCTTCCCTTTTCCACCCTCTTTCTTGAATACCAAATTCAAATATATGCCAATGAGTATAAAATCAGTAGTGAAGATTTTAATTGAATAAAGATTTGGTAAAATCAGCATAATAGAAAACTGTTGTGTTAATTGCACTAAAGGAATGTAAAACCATGTAGCTAATTGCATTTAGGAAGGATGAGTAAATGAAAGAGAACAGGACTGTGATCCCTACTTCTTGTAGAATTTTCAGTTATTTTGAACTGGGGAATATAGAGTAAGTGAGGATCATTAAACTAAGAGTTAATTATAGGTTCTAGATCCACCAGAAAGCATTGGAGGAAATGTGATGTGTTCAGTACCTGCATAAGCACATGTCTAAAGGTATTTTGAGAATTTTGTTTGGGAGGTCTTCCATTCTTTTCCTCCTCTTTGGGAGGTCTTCCATCTCTTGTACCTTGGATTTTAATTTTGGATCATGAGATATGTTTATGATGTACACATGAATTACAAGACTGGAAATTGTTAGTGGGCTAAGTGACCCTGTGATCATGATGGGTTTAACCATGAGCAAATATCATCCTGCCTGATAATAGATATATCTGATGTTTCAGGAAAACTTCACTAGAGCTTACTTCCCAAAAGCTTGAGGGATTGAAAATAAGCAGCAGTTCTTGAGAGTAGGCAGAAGGTGATGGAAAGTGGGATTCCTTTTTTAATAAAAAACAACAATCCCCTCCCCTCTGGGAAAAAAACCTCAAACAAACAACAAAAGAGGGCCCCTCTCCACCCTCCAAAAACCAGAAAGAAGCAAAACTGAGCAACCACAAGGCCTGAAATGCTGCTGTCTAACATGAGGATAAACTTCAAGGGAAAGGCCCAATGCACTGTCTAGCAAAAGAAATGTTCACGTCATCCTAGGTTGTTCAGTCATATTTTATAGCAAACATGAAGGGATGAAGAGAAATCACTTCAGAAATGGTGTGTATAAAATATTGATAATAAAAACAAAACTAAAGGGATGGATGACTGCAGAACAGAGAAAACACTGAGAACAGGAACCAGTCAATCCTCAGTGATTAAAGGAGAGGTATGTGAAGAAATGTGAAGAAATTTTGATTTGGGTGGAAGGTGCTTTTTTGGGCGTTGTTTGTTTTCAGATCAGCTAAATCAATCCAGTCACTCAGAGGCTGTTAAGTCTCAGAAATACGAAGACCATGCCACACTTGGTTTGAAAGTATGAGAACCTTGCCATATGGCTCTGCGTGGAGATCCATGTGGAAAGACAGCAGCAAAAACCTCTATCCTGAGCAGTCTGTTTAATTCAAACAAAGATCAGGTGTCCCAGAACTGTGCACTTCTGCCCAGTGTTCTCTGCCCTGTGCTGCTTGTTGACTTCCTCAGATTCCTCCTTCTGTTCCTCTCTTTCCTACATGCATGCCCACTCATTCTTGTACCCTGCTGCTGCATGTACCTTATCCCCCTTTTGTTTCTGTTTCATGTCTCCTAAATAACCTTTTCCAACAAGGCAGCAAAGCCATGAAGGGCAGTGCTTGTTGCTGTCGCTGTGTTTGGTCTGCTTGTGTGTTTCAAGTGTAATGAGTTTAAATAAAATGTTATGAGGATAATAATTCCTCCAGCTGGTGAGCCTGGAGTTCTTCTCCATGTCTGGGGGCATAACTGAGTGTTTCCCTGACCTGGTAATGTTAACTTTTAATAGTCCTAGAAGGAGAAAAGCATTGATCTCTACTAACATTTATAACAGCCAAACCCTGTTAAATTATATGGCAGTTAAACTAACATCCATTATTGTAATGGAGTCATTCATAAAATATTTATTTGTTAACAAATTAAAAGCTAGAGGTATAATAAGTGGTGACTGACGAAGTTTTATGGAAAATACCATCATTCAAACAAATCTGATAATTTGTTGATGAAAGAAGCTGTGTGAATGTATTGTTAAAGCACTCATTAAATAGAGGAATTGGCTAATTGGTAATCAGCAATGTATCCATATATCTCTACTCTGATTTCCAGGGGATTTCCATCCTGCATTTCTCCATAATAGTGTCGAACTCTATTGCTAGTCTAAAATAGCACTTTAATGTTTAAATACCTGATGTTAATTGTTGTGAATTGTCATGTCATTTCAGCTCTGACATTCCCACAGGAAGGCTTACCAGTCTCTGTGAATTCACTGTGTCCAGTATGGAAACTGCTTGGTGTTTTATTAAACTCTGACTTTAAAAGCTAAAATAGAGCCTAAATAGAGACTGCAGAATTAGAAAAAAACAGTGGAGGAGCAGACTTGCAGACCGTCCATGGCAGAACTCCTGTGACTCTGGGGCTTATGTCTCCCCTTTCTGAGTGTCTCAGACCCTCTCTTTGTTTCTGTTTGCTTAGGCTCATAGAAATGTTGGATGTTAGGGACCTCTGAAGGTCGTCTACTCCAAGCTCCCACTTGAAGTGCCAGTGTCCCCAACGCTAGATCAGGTCAGTCAAGGTTTCAGGTGACTCTTGGAAACGTGCAGGGATGGAGATGCCACCCTGGAATCTCCTTTTCCCTCTGTATTACATAGGATCTACATGATCACACTAAGGCCATGTAATATGCAAGGTGAAAGGAATAAAGAAAGGTGATAATAAATATATAAATAAATAAATAAGGTGACTTGAGTAAGTAATGAAAAAATAAGGAAAGGAGGCAGCTTGAAAACTTGGGTCTTGAAAGATGGACTTCAAGTCTTGGGCTTGGGTGTCATTAAGGAATGCCTCCCTGAATGTGTCTTCTTCTGAGACCAGCAGCAATTTCTTTACTAAGCTTCAGCATGAACAAATGCTTGGGAAGGCTGATAACTCTTTCCTTGCAGCAATAGGTTTTTATGCAAGCAGGAGCCTTGTGTCTGTCTGGCATGTTTATTCCATCAGTTAAACCCAAGAAGTAATACTGACTTCATGGTGGAAGTGTCCGATCCTGAATCTGCTTTGTCTGCCTGAATGTTTTTGTAGGATAGAACTGGTAAGAGAGCAGATCAGAATATTTATTAAGAGAAACTAATTCATGCTCTTTCACAAGTAGGTCCATTATTCTAGGAAATAACATGGGAAACTCATTACAACCTGTAGTTTAAGACACTTGTCTTTCTACTGGAGGAACTATCAAAATATAAGCATGGCAATTGTGGGGGCTCTTAAATCTTCTTAAATATCAAGCTTACAAGCCTAGTGGTTAATTTATGGTTTGATGGTTATCTTTGAAATGAAAAGGGACTAAGTTTATGTCATTTTGGTTAAAGCTCAGATTAGAGATAAAAGAGCTTGAGATTCTGGCACGAGATCTCTGACAGGAAAGCAAAATATAGAGACCATCAAAGTTTCTACATTTTGGGTCTTTTCTCATATGATATATTAATTTTTTATAATTCCAATGAAAGTCATATATTCCATATATTCCTCAGGAATTTGTGTTCTAGAACAGCTAGCAAGTGTTGATTCTGACTTGTTAATGAAAAGAATGAGATTTTTTTTTTCCTGGAAGTCTTAAAACAATTCTGAATGGATCATCCATTTATAACCTAATTTTTATATTTGCAGATCTTCCTGAGATAAATATGAAATTATTGGTGTAAACTTGTAGGCCATTGTCAAAATTGGCTTCAACTGTTTTAAAACATTTCAAACATGATCAGTGTTTTACTTTGCTCCATTATCTTAGAGTTAATAACAAAGCATGTTCTCACTTCCTAAACCAAAACAGAATTATCGAGACCATTGTCTTTTCTTTGTTGAAAGGAATTATTTCCTGGTTTACATGGTTAAGATTTTGACAGTACTCAGACTCTCACCTGAAAGTATGTTAATTTTTCATTTAAAATGTGGGCTTCTTTTACAGGTTCCTGAAAGTCTGTGGCTCTGAGCTAGTACGTCTTGAGTTGTCTTGTGGCCATTTCCTCAATGAAACATGCTTGGAGGTCATCACTGAAATGTGTCCAAATCTTCAGGAATTAAATCTCTCATCATGTGATAAAATACCACCTCAGGCTTTCAACCACATAGCCAAAGTGGGCAGCCTAAAGCGTCTCATTCTCTACAGAACGAAAGTGGAGGTAGGAACAGCTATTTTCAGCCTTTGCAATAAGTATTTCAATCCTGATAAAGCTGGTTTGGGGTTTGGTTTTTTCACAATAATGAAGAAGTAAATTAGTATTTTGAGTGTCAATTCAGAGCTAAATTCAGAAAATCCAAAGGTAGTTTCAAAAACCTTAGGGTGGTTTTTTATTTTCAGAATAGCTCTTGGCCTGCCTCTTTTAACTTTGATGGTAGGTTGGTGACTTTTCACCACCTGTTTTGAGCAATGTGGTAAAATTACAAATTTAAAGCTTTTCTTGTATTTTGAAGTGTACTCTAGTCAAACTGTATTGGCAAATATATTTGTAAAATTACCGTGTTTAGTAACTTCCTTTAATTCTCAGCGTTCTCTCCTTTCAAATGACTTGCTAATTTCTAGATTCCTACAGTCTTTGGATATTAGCACTAATTGAGACACGGAACACAAGTTTTTTATGAAACTTCTCATTTACAGTCTAAAAATTACCTCTTTATACAGTTACTTGCCCAAATCAGAGTTGTTACTGCTTGCTGCGACACATTTCCTCTCTAAGATAGAATGGGTTTGTGTACCGCAAGTAGCTGAGAAGTCTGTTGTGGTTTGCTACATTTTACAAATATTGTATCCTTATAAACTTAGCAGTTTGAATCAGAAAAATTCCATTCTCTCTCAGTAGCTACATTACTCAGGTGTTACAACCTTATCACTGTGGTTTACCGGGAAGCTGTTCTACTTTTGTGTTGCAAAAGCTGTGCCAGAATGGGGGCAATCCCATGTCTCTGCAGGCTTTCTTCCTGGCTTCTGATTCTAGATTAAACATTTTAAGAAGAGTTTGGTTGTGTGTGTTACTTGTGTTTGTGCTTTTGGTGCACAGAAGTCAGGCTGTGACTCTGGATCGTGTGGGGAGTTAATCTGTGGTGTGATGAAGGGAACGAAGCTGGAGCAGTAGGTTCTGTCAGCTAGATGTGCAAGGGATGTCTGGAGTTAAGACTACAATATTGCATTCATAAGCAGTTCACACCTGACACACATGTTAGAGTTAGTTGGGTCTTGTTGTTCTTTATTTGGTGAATCCTAACTTTGTTTTTGCCCAAGTTCCAGCCAGGTGTCTGTAATGGAGTGGGTAAGACAAGGTAGTTAGATTGAAGGGTGATCTACCTGGTGTGAGTGGTGCTCACTGTGGGGTGTGCAGTCACCATGACTTTGTGGTGGCTGCTCTCTGTATTGAAGCAATTCTTATTTTCTTCAAGAAATTAATATTTTCTTCAAGCAATTATTATTTTCACAAAGAAAACTGGTGAGCCCTGCATTTTTTGAATAGAGCTGTATTGGTGCCTTGGATGTATCTGTTCTGTTTCTACAATCCTAGTCTTTTTGTTAATCTTGGATAAATCTCTTTATTTCATTTTGACTCTTGGCTCAAATTTACAAAGCTTTTTCAGATCCAGGAAAGATCACTGTATCAGAGGTAGTGATTGTATAATTTTTTTAGTTTTACTGTTGATTGATCAGAATCTTCTTGATTCTACTCAGGTAACTTCTGAAGTTTGAGACTTCATGCTTGTAATAGTGCAGCAAATGCAATGTAGGTGAATGGTCTGAGGTGAATGGTAACTCATTCCTCTGCTATTGCTTTGCTGAGCAGAGCTTGAAATTAAACTGAGTGTGGGTAAATATTTCCTGACTTTGAAGCCCTTATATTGTGAAGATTCACTTCTCCCTTTCATGTGTATGGACATGCAGCTTGTAGCTGACAAGAACATTCATTCATAATCAAGATTATACAAGATTGTGCTTCCGTTTTATATGTATGTTTGAACAAAAGGCACTGTTCCTAATAAACAGTGGAAGAGAAATATCTGGAAATTTAAATAGGTAAATTTGAGACGATGTTTGGGTGTCACTTGTTAATATGAAGCCACTTAACAATATACATTGTACATCACAGGTCAAAAAATAAAAGGGAAAGAATGAAGATGTGGCATAAGATTTGAATTAGAGCATTAGAACTACAAAAGTTACAGATTTGTAGAAATAACATTATCTTTCTCAATATGAGCTTCTCTTAGTGCAAACCTTTGGTTATCTGTACAGAATAGGCTGCCATTCCTTCTGTACTTTTCAGCTGGTACAGAAATCTTGGTAGTAAGTGATGGCTATATGCAAAAAAGGATAGATTGATCAAGCATGCTGTCAAGTGATTGAGACTTCTCTAAAACTTGTCAAAGAGCTGTTAGTATTCTTGATTTTTGTGAAATTTCTACTGTCTTCATTGTTGGAGCTTCTGAGGAGCCAGCAGAGGAACAATGCTAATGATTAACCAAGAACTTGGCATTGTATTGTTGCCAACTGGATCTGCTCAGTGAAAAGAATCTGAGGCTGTGAATCCACTAAGAAAAAATGCAAACTGATAACAAGTATGTGTTTATTATGAGAAAATAAGAAGGTGATAAGAACAGAGCTGATACAGTGCTCTGTTAAAGTTCTGTTTCAAAATCCAAGAAGAAGAAACCAAAAGAAAAATCTGTTCATTTCATTTAGACTGTTTTCCTAAATAATTCAGGGGCTTGCTTTTTTCCTAAACCAAGCAATGACCAAAATAAACTACAAAAATTTCATGTGTTAGAGCACATCTGGGTAAACAGTACAGTTTTTTCTTTTGGTTGTGGATTTGGACGTGATTAAATAACATAGGAAGAGATGAAGATTCTCCATCCTATTTGCCAGTATGTAATAATGCTGTTTCTGGTTTTGCATTAATATACTTGATAAAAAATACAGAATTAACATTTTAATAAAATAAATGGTATTTCTCCCATACACACTCACAAGTACCTGCCCAGATCCAGGATTTTCTTGCAGTCTAAGTCCTGCTGTAGCCTTTTCCTTTACTTTTTTGACTTTTAATACTAAAAAAGAGGAAAAAAGTTCTTTCAACATCTAAATTTAAAGTATTTGTTGTACTTTTCCCATGTATATGATTACAGTGACACTAATAGATAAATTCTAAGCAAACACTCTGCTGAAACACTGACTACTATTAATGATTTTTTTTAGGTGCAGAGATTTTGAGGACAATGCAAAGTTAATAAAATTAATAAAGTTATGTTGTCTGAGCAATTGTAATTACATTGTAATTACAGTTTCTTCTTTAGCTGTTTTCTTTGAATAGGTTTTGTATTTAAAAATTTTGTCATTGTTTTTGTAATCAAAGCTGGAGTTTTTAAGTGTATGTTTTTAGTGAAATGGGCAAGGCTGGTGTTTTGCTACTTAGTGTACTGCTGCTTTGGAATGTTTCTGTCTACAGCATTGGAGAATGTTGTAGCCTTTGGTCTTAACCCTGCTGATTCTTAAGGCCATCTGTAATGTTATTTCCTTGACATATTGAGTGTGAGGTTTTGTGCATAGAATTTTTTTCTAACCTCTGAATTGAAGCTTCCAATACCTTTGAATGATTTCAACATTTCTGTTAGAAGAAGTAAAATCCAGTGACTTTCAGTAACTTTTCAATTAGTGAAAAAAGTGTCCTGCATGGCTATCCTCCTCCCCACCAAATGTGGCTCATTTTTCCAGTGCTTTAAATTAATTAATAAAGGTTCTTAAAGGTTGTTTGATTATGTATATGCTTGAGTAATTTGTATCTTGCTTTGAGAAACTGATCTCAACTTTTTATAAATGTAATTTCTTTGTGCTCAACACCACTGTTATACCTGTGGGATTTTTGTGCTGGTGGAATTAGTATTTACTGATACATAATTCCTTAGTGTTTGTTCAGAGTGCATTCCCAGCATGACTAAAGCACTTGTTGGCCTTTATACTTTTGAAGAATACAATGAGCAATGTATTATTGTATACAGTACTTGGCAATGCACATCTTTATCCTTGAGCAGGAATATTTTCTTAATTGAATGCTTATTGTGAAGTATTTAGTCCATATAAATCATGCAGCCAAAAAAGTATTTTAAGGAAACCAAAGCCAAAATTACAGTAGAAGAACTTGTCAGTCTTCTTACTGATGGGTGTAAATTTTAATGTAAGATTATATATTTCATGATATTCTGAAATCTTTCTAATTTGTAAAGAAAAAAAATGTAAAGTTGGTATTGCAATTATATTTGAGATACAAAATGAACTAAATTCAAATCTAATTACAATGGACAAAGGACTTTGTTTTTCACACGTTTTAAAGAAAGTGTTGTATTTATAGATTTTTATCGCTGATAATTTTGACCAAAAGCAAATTTGGAACTTGGGTAGCTGCAAGAGAGGACACTGGAAATCTTGGATACCAAAAAGAAGCAGAAGAATCATAGCAGTAAATGTAATAACTCTTATTTTCTTATACTGTGAGCAATATAACAGTTAATGCTGCCATAAAAATGTCCTACAGTGTTTTCAGAAATACCCTATTATGGGTCACATCATACTTTTGAGAGCTATTGTTTAAAGGGTTTTCAGTTTGGGCAAAGTTCCATTGGCTTGGGTATGAATCTTTAGGATGAAGAGCTGCAAGCAAATAGTGGGGAAAAAAAAAAGGTGAAAGGCTGTACCTGGAATGTGGATTCTTGGAATCAAGTTGAGTCAGTGACAATTGTGGGATACAGGGCCTTGATGGTGCTTTTTGATTTCATGTCAGGCTCACAGTGTGGAATTTGGTTGTTTGAGCCTGTAATGTGAAGTGAGGGGGAAGAATGAAGGTGTAAAACAGATTTGCAGACATAAGGGAGGACATAATTTGACCAAATACAGCAAAATCAAAATACAGTAATTTAATTAACTGCAGAGACTATTACTTTCATTGAATTAATTCAGTAATTGCTGTGTTGCTGTGTCCCAGTCCCTGCTGTGCCCCTGGCACTGCTAAGTAGCTGTAGAGAACAAAAAGGTGTCCCTGTATATTCTGAACCCAGCTTGCAAATGATACTGGGTCTGTTTCTGAAGAGCCAGGTTGTTGTGACTTTTGAGAGGCTACACCTGCACTCATTAATAAGGTTCATT